TGGACATTGAAACTTGCTTCTAGAAACTTTTTTCGAAATAATCAGAAGTTCAAATTTTAATTTTCATAAAATTGCTGCAATAAAAACAACCTGCCAAAAATAATAAGCTGGATTAAATCAATAAGTTAAGGAGCAGCACAAACTGCTATATTGACTGAAATTCTTTGGAATCGGTAAAAGTATAATTTTAGCCTAGCTTAACAACTTCTGCTATACATTATTAGCTATGTATCATGAGATTTGCAATGAGAGCCAAGTTGTTCCGTTAAATTTTGTTTTGCTTCTATCGCACAGTGAACAATTAAACTTAAATTGTATTAGTTATTTATTATACTACTTGCGTCTATTTCTTGCACATGCTTAAGGCTTATCAGAGTAATAAACAAATTAATTCACACAAATACTTAAGGCTAATCGAAGGCCATCACTAGATATCTTACTGATGAAAATCGGTAGATGTACATGTATTGAAAATGAAACGCTAATAGTGTCTTAGGAATTGAATGTTTTATTCAGAAAATACAGTTACAAGAGTAAAATATACAACTAAAGTGCTAACCTACCTCTGGCCCTGATGTAATCTGTTATCCAGTAGGCACTGATTAATAGAGTTTGGCAGATGTCTTCCTGGGAGATTGCTTACCATACGCATTCCAATTGGTGATTAGATTGGAGCGATCCAAGGATAGTCAAAATGCCTGCTCCTCAGAGCTCAAACGTAATCTATAATGGAGAGACCTGGCAATTACACCAGCCATGGAAGCTTGCAAAAAGTATGAAGAAAAACCAGTAGAAAGTAGGTGTGCATGGCTGGGCATTGTCCTGTTGATTTGTAAACCCAGTGGTTTGTGAAAGGAAGGGCAATCTACAGAGAGTAGAATCAAACAAGTGTTCTGCTGTGCCATAAGGTTGTAACAGATGACAAACAAAAGGGTCCAGCTATCAAATGAAATGTCATCCCAGACCACAACTCCTGACTGTCAGTTGTATGGCAGGTGACAATTAGGTGAGTATCCCACCACTGTCCTGGACTTCTTCAGACATGTCTTTGCTTGTCATGGTTGCTCAGTTTGAAGAGGGACTGATCGCTGAAAATAATTCTGCTCCAGTCTGTGAGATACAAGGTCAAATGTACCTGGAACCAGCAGAAACGTTCCTGGTAGCATGCAGTGGTAAGGGGCAGAAGGTAAATGGCTTCTGTGACCTCAGTCCCCATTCATTGAGTTGCCTATCAATGGTCATTACATTGATTGGTGTTTTGGTTACATGTCGGATCTTTAATAAGAACACATCAAAGGCTGTAAGGGATGATCAAACAATCACTCTGCCCTTGTGTTTTGCTATCATTCTCGGTTGACCTACTTGATGCTCTAAAAGGCTGTGAATCCCCCAGTCTTGCCAACATCATCGAATGGTGATGTCATTCTGGCCTTAATATCTAGCAATCCTCTGATTTGACTATCCTGCTTCATTTGGTCCAAAAGTGCATCCTCTCTCAAATAGTCGCATCTGCTCATACTGTTTGTGATCCCGTCTGCAAGGCATTTTGATTAGTTTCCCACTAGTTGATGAAACCACACTCATATGGAAGTTATGCTTTAGCATTGGAATATCCTCTATTTTATACCCATCCAGATGCTCCACTGCAATGCACTGGAACTCCAGCTAGTCAGTCAGTGGCTGCCAAAATTAATCATTTTCATATTCTAACATAAGTTATGGGCATATGCAGTTTCATCCCATTACGATAATTCCTTCTCAGTGTGTCCACTTTTTGTTATACAATGCATTATGAATAAATATGTGTAAATTTGGGGGCTGTATACCTTCGAAAATTTTTTTTTTTAATTTTTAAGATTGTGCATTTAATTTTGGCTCTAAAGTAATTAATGATGAAAAAATGAAGAAGCTGAGTTATTTAATGACCATTAATTTTGTATTTGTGGAGTAAAGTAAGAAAACAAGCAAAAAAACAGGAATATTTACAGAAAATTAGAAACACTGTGTTAAAACAAGTATTATATATTTTCACGTTTTGTAAAATGCAAACTCATCATGATATTCTCAAGGAGGTAGACTATTATTTTAAAGCTAGGAAGTTATTTAAAAAAAATTTATGCTAGAATGTGTAATATAGCAAAGAAAAAGCATATTTTCTCATTAAAACTCAACATAAGTTTTTAAAAAATGCATTTATCAATTATTAAATAGTCTGTCTCCTTACTTAAAGTGTTCTAAACATGTATACCGAATTGCATAAGATTTCAATGATAATTTTTAAAGATATTGTGTTTCTTGTTAGCATTAAAACACGAAAAATGAAAAACGAGATAAACACATTTAAAGAATTCAAACACATACACGATTATCTACTTTTAATCAGTTTGTAAACTTAAAATTCCACTGATTTATAACTAATGACCTCTTGTTTTTCAGAATTTACATTTTTTTTTCCTTCTCAACAACTTTTAAAATTTTTCTCTGCTTTTTAAAGCCAAATCAGGGAATGTTGTTTTTCATTCTCGATATGGTTAACATCAAACCTTTCATACTCATTTGCAGTGTAGTATCCAATATCTATACCTAATTTACTATATCTATACCAATATCTATCCATACGTATAAAAATTAATGAATATTACTCAGTAATAAATAAAAAAACGCTTATCAGCAATGTAAACACAGAATCAAAACACGAGCGAAAATGCGTTAGTGAATTCATAACACACTAAAAATACTTTTGTAGGCTATCATAAAAATACAAAATGTCAAACGGTTTTTAATTTATGTCTTGAATGATTTTCATGAGAAATAAAGTAAACATTTCATTGAGCGTAAGAACAAAAAAGTAGTTTTTTTTACCAAAATCTTGGTTTCTAAGGTATACAGCCCCCTTGCCAATGTATGAGTTGATTGCTTATTTAACTGAATGTGGCAAAGAATCTAAGAAGCAAGAGATCTTTGTGGAGAACTTTCTAAGAGAAACTGATAAAGAAACACATAAGGAAAACCATGAAGATAATCCAAACATTCAGATTGTTTGCCAGAATTTGAACTCCAAACAAACTAGCACGGTTCAAAAGTCTTGTCTACTCAGTTAGTGTTGAGCACAAAACAATTTATTGCGTTTGCAATTACATAGTAATTCTAAATGCTATTGTAGTATAACTGCAATTATACCAGCATTAAATGAAGTTTTAATAACAGTTACAGGTAGAAGTAGGAGGGACATTATAACTGCAATTATACCAGCATTAACGGAAGTTTTAACAACAGTTGCAGGTAGAAGTGGGAGGGACATTAGAAATTTACCAATGGTTAAACCAATGTCATGTCACGTTTAAAACAATGTTATGTCACGTTTAAACCCTAAAGAAGATGAAATGAGTTTATGTCTGGTGGTAAACAGGTATAGTCCTGCTGCATGAACTTTGCAGTTATGCCCTTATTTTGAGGAAAAGCACCCTGCAAGGTGATCCGAGGGTCTCGTACCCCTCCTTCCCTACCACCAAGTTCTCAAGAGGACTTTCAGTTGGCCATGTAGTTTGAGTTCCCCCTGACTGCAAAGACACTATACGCATATAAACATCCATACTTTTTCTGGGAATAAAACCCAGGCCCATCCATATGGCAGTCGTCATTAACCACTAGACCAGCTGGGTGGCAAGTTTTTTAACTACAAAGTAATTGTAATGAATTATCAAGATTAATTAAAGATCTTATATTTTGCTCAATGATAACATTCTGAGAAACTGCTACGTGTGAGAACTTGTGAAATTTTAAAATCTTATATTTTGTGGTAGCATTGCAGAGGGCTGCATCTGGATTATTTCCTTTCGTCTCATTCATAAATTTTTTATGCATAATTGTTCTACAATCATTTTTCAAGAATAGAATTTTATATTGTAAGTTAAAATAATGCACCTCCCTCAAGGGTAATAAAAGCAATTACTAATAAGTTGAATAAAATTAAATTATAATTTTAGCTTATGCACATACAATATATTTGTAACTATGATTATAAATATATTGTAGTTGTAGTTATAAATTGTATAATTATAATTACATTGTAATTATATTAATTGCAATTATAATTACACTGTAAGAATTATCTGCTACTGCAATTACATCATAATTTTATGATTTATAATACAATTGCATTGTATTGCATGATTTATAATTACAATCCCATTACAATTACACTGTAATGTGAATTACAGACACAATTACATTGTACTTGCAACTGAATTACATATATTTGGGATTACACTGTAATTCAATTATTAATCAATTGCATTGCAACTGAATTATGCCCAACTCTATAGTATAGATAAATAACTTTAAGGAAAACAGCTCAACACATTCACTGCCAATCATGCAACGGCACAGGGCTGGCATTATTGCTGAATAGTCAATCACGCTCTTGCACGTGGTGTGGTGTGGTGTGTGATGTCTCAGGTGCCAGTCACATGCTGGCATCGGAAACGCAAGATCTCATTGTTTATTTTCAAGTTCAATCAGCATTATGGTTTGAAACAGGGAACAAAAAATTCATTTCTTACAAAGTTCATACACGAATAACATTCTGAAATATATAGTTTGCAATAATATCACTGCAACTATCTTGTAATAAATTCATTTTTTATATATTTGTTTGTGATATAGTTTTCTACCAAAATAATGCATATTGTTATTTATTTTTATTCACTTTTAAATGCCACATGCCAGCATGTAATGCAGCATTGCAGAAGTAATTTTTGCCTCTAGTGCTGATCACAGGCTGGCGCATAGTAATAAAATTCCAGGCTTAAAGACTTAGTAATCAATGTGGTGCACATAATAATCTTTTATTACCTCTTCTAAATCATATTTCTTATAATAAATAAATCGGGATATGGATACAACCTATTTCTATGACACAGCATTAACTATCACTACAACCTCATATGACCAGCAGCGAAAGTGTTAAATTATATTAAAAAAAAAAAGATAATTCTTACTTGTTTCTGACTGATTTTCCAGATGAAATGATTGTAAAAATAACTGAGATTAATGAACAAGGCTTGGATTCTAAAAAGAGATAACGTTTATTAAAACATTTAATATAATTAGGTTATGTAATAAATCAAAAAAGTACTTAGTATTAAGTAAATTTGTAAGTTACAGATGTCCCAGATATTGGATTTAATATTAAAGTTGGATCTTTTCTGTTATAAGAACATGCATCAAATAATTTTATACAAAAAGCTAAATGTGCCTATGCTGCCTCTTAGCCACAATTCAATTAAATGTTTTATTTTTATTTCTTATAACAGAATTGTTTCCAAACTAAGTTCTAACAGTAAGAGTAAGAAGAATAAGACTGAATGATACAAAGTGTAATATTTTGTTATTTAACAAATAACTATATTTATTATTGAAGTGGCAATGCCATATTTATATGATGTAACCGTTGCTCAGCAATGTAAGAAATTATTTTAAGATTAGTATTCTATTCTGAAGTTTGACAGCTAGTATGAAAATTTTGCCACTTAAGAATTGTACACAAATTATCTACCTCCATAAACTAAAAAAAAAATTTATGTTTTACTAAGAAGATTATCTGTTTTGTCAATTACTGAAAAATACATTACAGTCTTATAAATTTGGAGGTTCCAGTGAGATACTGGAAATTAGGAGTGCAATTGTCAGTTTCGATGGTGCTGGTCTCCTAATCCCAGAACGTTGCTGAAATTTTGAGAACAAGTTTGCTAGTGCCAATTGCCAAGTTTGTTTATTGCAAGGTGAAATGGATGTCAGAAGTCTGCCCTATCAAAGTCAGATTTTGAAGCGGATCATTCAACAGTTACCCTCTGTGTTTCTATAACTTGCGTCCAAGCAAAGAATTGTCAAACAGGATCTTGCTGATCTCTGAAGATAAGATTAACTTTTGGTTTCATAAAAAAGGGTTTATTGAATAAGTATTTCATTTCAGAATTATATTTAAATAGTGTAAGTTTTTCTGTAAAATAACTGAAACTAAAAATTTTAAGAGTAATTTATAATTGATATTTGTGGTAAAGAAGTATTTAAAAAAATTATTATTTAGGCTTTACTGTTATTTGTTTTGAATTTTTTTTGTTGATAATTTATATGTGTAAGGCATTCCAGCATTTATTAAAAAAAAAAAAAAAAAAAAAAAAAAAAAAAAAAAAAAAAAAACCTGCTAGCTGAGTTTTTGAATTTGTGAATTTGTTGCCAAGCAGGCATGTGGAAAATAAGTAGTGATATCAAACAGATGTAGTGTGATTTGAATATACTGCAGAATTGGCAAAAGTTTTTTTTTTTTTTTTTTTTTTTTTTTTTTAGTTCTCGCCGTCCAGGCGTGTGGTAGATAGTAACATCATCCCGACATATTACAGATTGTATATTGTAAAACAATGGCTGCAACAGCACAGCCGGTATAAACTACGCAGTTACCTGAGGAGCCTTTAAAAATCAGAATTCACAATGTCATGTCACGTTTAAACCCTAAAGAAGATGAAATGAGTTTATGTCTGGTTTATTTGAGCGTTAAGCTAAGATGATGAATATACTTGCTGAAAATCAAGTGACTCACCTCATCCCACTGCTGCCTCCTGACATTGTTCAGCTTATTGCTAGAGAACCAGAAGAGGACGCAAAAAAAGTATGAATATGTAAAAACTTTACTGTTACAATGATTTAAATTGAGTGTGGAAAAATTTCAACAACTATTTAATAAACACCAAAAATTTACTGAAAGTACTTAATATGATTTTCTACTATGAATTAAAGAATTATTTAGAAGGATGGCTTACCGGATTAAACATTAAAACTTTTGAACAGTTAAAAGATCTCACGCTGGTTGATCAAATTAAAAAACGTACTTTTCCTGATTTCAAAGAACATTTTATGGATGAATGGACTACCATCATTTCACCTACTGAGATGGTTAAGAAAATCGAAGATTTTGAAGACGTGAGAAAATTAATAAACCTGAAATTTTCTTCCAGTCAAACTGAGAGATTTAACAAAGGATCATTTAAACCTCGTTACGAAAATTTTGTGAAAAAATAGAGCATCCGCCTCATTTTAAGCATTCTGATAGATGGGATGATTCAAAATACCAGAAAGATCATCGACAAAGGAATCAGTTCCAAAACAAAAATCAAGAAAATTTATACGACAAAAGATATCAACCACGTTGTTTCGAGTGTGGGTCATCCAAACATTTTAAGCCTCAGTGCCCTTGCTTAAAACCAAATGAAAAGGTAAGTTGCGTATCTTCGAATGATGATTTGTTAGAGACATATACAATTAACGGTTTAGCTAATAAGTATGAAATGCTTATTCTTTGAGACACAGGAGCCACTGTTGATTTTATTTCTCGAAAATACATAGATAACGCAAAAATGACTGGAGAACATGTCTTCTAGGTACAATATCTTTTAAATGACCATTTAGTGTGTCTACCGTTAGCCGAAGTTGAAATTAATTGTGAACTTGGTCATATAAAGACAAAGGCAGCTGTTATTACAAACGATCCCAGCAGATATGTATTGGGTAACAAAATTGCCCAATTGTTCAAAGCTAAATCATTCTTAAATTTAGAAAAATAAATGCTCTTTTGACACGATCTCGTGAAGAAGATCGGAGTAGAGAAATCGAAATGGAGAAACTAGAATAACAGATGTTTATTGAGATTGACGATGATATTTTACCGCAAGCTGATGAGGAAGACTAAGAAATTAAGAAAGTGATTAATGTTAATTCTAAGGAATTAATTGAATCTCAGCATCAAAGCAAAGATCTAGCCTCATTGCTAAGCGAAGCTAAAAGTGAAAATTTCGGCAAAACAAATGATTTAAAAGTAAAGGAGAATGGGTTGTTGATGAAAAAGAAATTAGATAAAAATGGAAATGAAAGGGAATTAATTGTTATTCCTGAAAAATATGGAGATCAAATGCAGAACTATTCATCTTTGATGCAGATCCAAACAAATAATAGTGCTAAAACTCAGGGTAATTTGGTCAATTCTCATCCTCCTAATAGTCAAGCTTCTGTCAATGCTTCACAGAAATCTGACCGGTCTAAGCATTCACCTCCTGATGTGAAAACTGAAGTTATTGATATGGAAGCTGACTCACCTTGTTCACCTGGTGATAGGTGTGTAAATCCATAAAATAAATTATAGGTGTGTGGATCCATAAAAGGTGTATCCCATCACCTTTCATGGATAGTGTGTGTGATTATTTCCTTACAAGTTCCCCAGTTCCTGCTTCTACAAAAAGCAGAGATGTGTTTGACAGTTTGTTAACAGCAGATCAAAGAACTTCTGATAAAAGAACTCATGAAGGTGCTTCTAAAGCTAAGAAATTAAAAATACGTTAAGAGTATACGTCAGAAAACTTAGTAAAGAGGCACAAGCATGAAAAAGGATACTCAGAAGTGCCACATTCAATGAGAATGCAAGTAACAGATAAGAACAAAAGTTCATCTCGCAAGGAGCAAAATCTATATGACAAGAAAGAACTGACAAAATTAAATGATTCTCAGTGAAAAATTCTAGATGAATTGCTAAGTACTGCAGTTGAGATGCAAGTCAAGAAGTTTTTAAAGAAACTAAACAGATAAGAGCGAGTTGTTGAATAAGTAAAACTGCCACAAAAGCCTCTGTCACACTCACCTGATTTCAATATGGAGTTTATTTTGCAAATTGATGTTTCAGACTCTGGGTGTCATTTTAGCTCAAAAAGATAAACGAGACAATGAACATCCAGTATTATACCTCAGTAAGTTTACAGAAACTAAACAAAAATATTCTACCACAGAAAAGGAATGCATCGCCATAATATTTGCTGTAAAGAAACTTCAATGTTATTTAGACGGACATTCTAAATTCCTCATGATAACCAATCATAATTCCCTAGTTTGGCTCAAAAATAATGCGAGTCTAAATCCACGACTTATGAGATGGGCACTAGTACTACAACCCTACAATTACATGGTTGTTCATTGAAGTGGTAAAAACCATAAAAATGTAGACGCATTAAGTCATACTCCCTGGCCTGATTAAATAATTTGTTTCTCTATATAGATAAAAAAAAATATTTTGTTCTTTCCTCTCTTCCTCAGTGTATGTTATTATGTTATTTGTTGTATTTCAATTCTGTATTGTGCTGATATTGTTGTTTTGAAAAAAAAAAAATGTAAACTTTAATTCCTAAAAATATAAATTAAAGTTTATCTGGAGGGGGGAGAGGTTGTAATATTTTGTTATTTAACAAATAACTATGTTTATTATTGAAGTGGCAATGCCATATTTGTATGATGTAACCGTTGCTCAGCAACGTAAGAAATTGTTTTAAGATTAGTATTCTGAAGTTTGACCAGCTAGTAGATGTATGAAAATTTTGCCACTTAAGAACTGTATACAAATTATCTATCTCCGTAAACTAAAAATAAAATTTATGTTTTACTAAGAAGATTATCTGTTTTGTCAATTACTGCAAAATACATTAAAAAGTGTGTCACTCAATCTCCTTCTTTGTTTATAGCAATAACTACTCTAACAAATATATTTTTCATACTTAGAAACTTTTTACCACAGTTCAAAATGAGCTGATGACAAAAGGATATTGACTTGCAGGACATATTGAATTGGTGCATGTACCTTTCTATTAAAAACAAATTGCTTAGTACATGTTGTTTTACTGCAAGAAAGAGCCTTAAAATTTACTTTTTAAATTATTTGTAGTTATGCTTTACAACTATGTCTTACTAATTTTAGAATTTCACTCTGTAAGAAAGTATCATACTCCTACGTGCATACTTTCATTGTATGAACGATTATCATGTGCCATTAGCAATTAAAAACCTGGCAAGAACGTAACTGATTTTTCATGCTTCCTACTCCAAAAATATCTAATGATCTTTACAGTTTAAGACAGTAAAACCTTATTATATCAACCTTGAAGATAAAAAAAAAAAATACTATATCATTCTGGAGCTGCAAAAACAAACCATTTTTAGTATAAATGAGCAAGTTATTTAAATAAAAAAAATTATGAACAGTATTTCTTATTATGGATAAAAAATAATTTTTTAAAGTCTTTATATGATGAAGCAAAATAAGATAACTCCAACAATATTACACAGAGCCGGATTCAGACTTGATAAGGTCCTAAGCTATTTGAGGTATGGAACCATTTATAAGTCTGTTATACTATATTTTAAATTTTTGGGAACACCCCCAAGAAAGTGGGGGCAATAAGCTATAGCTTGTGTAGTTTATACGTAAATCCTGCACTGATATTACACAAAAAATGTTTTGAAATTAATGTTTGATTATATTTCTTACTCAATAGACAATCACAAAATGAAAGAAGATTCTTTTCACCAATGTTAAAAATCTTTCAGCTGTAGTTACCAATTTCTTTGGATAATTCTTTATACAGATATTTAGCAGATTCAGCTAGGACAATTTTTTGGATTTCCCATTTATAACCAGACATGAGATTCCATGGAGCAGTTTCTGAGCTATCCAAATTAAAAATAACCGGTCCTTCAAATTCAATTCCACTGCTACTGTTCCCCTTTCCATTCGGGGATTCTCCCCAAATGTTTACCATGTTTTAAATATTCCATTGATTGGAATATTTAAAACATGGTAATGAGTGAAAATGTTCACCAAAATAACATCCCTGAACTTCAGGAAATTTTCAGACTTGAATACATAATTTTTTAAACGAATTTTTGAAGCAGGTGCTATATCTTCTTACAGAAACATTTGCTGTTTTCAGTGTTAACATCGATATTCAGTTTTTGATAATTCTACTTTTACTAGTTTTGTATTCAACTCAAACTCTACTAAAATTTCAGCTTTATCTTTTAATGAGAATGTCTCTTATCTAGATAGCTTATCTGCAAGTTAGATTTAAAGAACAGTGCAAAGGACAAATAGCCAAGTTAAAACATATTTATCAAATAATATACAAATAGTCTCCTATTCATAAACATATCTCATTAGCATAACCCAAAAACTATTTTGCTGCATCAAGTGACCTCCTTTTCCATCCACCACCTAATTTCATATCTTGTATCCATTTCATTTACATAACATCATCCCCCCCCCAAATACAAGCACAGACACATTGCCAAATAGTTTCCAAATGCTAGTGAAAGAAAGAAAATGATATCCAAAGAAACTAGTTTGTGAAACTGATACTGAAAAGAAATATCGACGAATAAATTGACAAAAGTAGTACATATTGAAGTTATACTACTTTTGACTCTTTGAAACTTATTAATAAAATACTTTTCTGGTAATATGCACAGAAAAGAATCATGACAGAGATGAAATAAAAAACATATAAACAATGCTCACTGTATATTAATTCTTTATATACACTGCACAAAAAAAAGGGGGGAGGGTTCTATATCTAAGTTCTACTGGGCCGATTGACAAAATTCAAATTGCGTTTTTTATGCCTCGAAAGCACGACTTAGGATACATATTAGATTTATATATAGCTTTGTTATAGCATAGATATTTTGACACAAAATCGGACTTTTTCTGAAATAACATACCAATTTTTTTTCATATTTCGATTCTGCGACTCAAATTATGCCTAGATATTAAATTATGTAAAATTTAGTGCACAATTTATGGAGAAATTCAAGCATTTATCTTGGCACAATTTTTTTCAGTTTTCGCCAAGAATAATTCACTTGGTGAACATCTTAATATGTAGCAACCAATTTTACTTTCCCTTCCATTATGCTGGAGCGAAAAAAGGCACCTTGCTCCTACCTTTTTACATTGTGCATGAGGAGAAAAAAGTCCCATCGTTTCTACTTCCAAATAATTTTCGAAAAGTGTCTAAACAACATTTGATATTTTATCGCTTTCAACAAATATGCCAAATTTCAAAATGCTCCAATATATAAATTCACGCCTATCTTCAGAAATTTTGACTAAAAAAATTGTCATTTTTTGCAGGTTATGCTTAAAAATACGTCTACTTTAAGATGATGGTAACAATTTTGTAGATTATAATTCAAAATTTTTTTTGAAAAATTTATAAAATTATTTAAAAATACAAATTTTAAAATAAAATGTAAAAAAAACGGGTGAATTTTATTTCGAATGAACCTAAATTTCGAAATGTGAAAAGAAGAATCAAATAAGTTTAATAAAAAAAAGATAAATTAATAAATATATGCCAAACTCAATGAACACTGAGGAGCTGAAATTTTGAGAGCTAATTTTTTAAAAACTACTCGTGCGATTTTTACAAAACTTGGTAGTTTGGCATAATTTGAGTCGTAGAATCAAAATATGGAAAAAATTGGTATGCTATTTCAGAAAAAGTCCGATATTGTGTCAAAATACCTATATTAGAACAATGCTATATATAAATGCAATACATATCCTAAGTCGCGCTTTCGAGACATGAAAAACGCAAATTGAATTTCATCAATCGGCCCAGTAGAACGGGAGATATAGAACTGTCCCTCCCTTTTTTTTGCGAGGTGTACATATAAATTTACATAACTTCATATAAATCCTTTATCACAAAATATCATTGCATAAAAACAATTCCAAATATATATTTGAATTTAGTAGTAAAAATATCATTTGATTCTTAAGACAATAGAAAATTAAGAGCATTTTATTTAGATTATTTATAAAATAATTTATGAATTATATCATAAACACTCTTTCTACAGATAAATAAATACAATAACAATATTCTGATTTTTAGAGAAAAATATACCTCTTTTTGTTTTTTCCTTCTCCATGTAAACTATTTTGTACTTCCTTCTTCATATTCCTAAGATAAATATTTAAATTAAAAAAATTAAAATATGTATTCAACTAGTATATGTACTGGTAGGTATATTTAAAAAATTAGATAAAATATACTAGTTTAAATTTAAGAAAAGTAAAAATTATGCATATTTCTTTTCATACATAATGATGAATTATTTATGCAACCACCTTAACAGAAATCGCCATATTTTTAAAGACTGCCAAACTCTGACAGTGACATGCATAACAACTTTTCAATTTCAACAAGCAATATTATTTTCATATGCCTTCTTTTGTTATATTCTAAGTTCCAGAAGTTTTTTATGAACCAACTTGAATATTTTTTTTTTTTTTTTTTTTTTTTTTTTTTTTTTTTTTTTGCTTTAAACATAATTTTTAAGTAAGCACTTGAGGGATTTCCTGACGGGACCTACTGGACTAAAATTTCTCCAGGAATATAATTTTTTGCTGTAAAATGGCTAAATGTAATAATTGCTTTGAATCTACTTTTACAGCAACAAAAACGAAATTTTCACCAGAAGGAAAAAAACAAAACTATGTTTGTATGTAGGTTTATTAATTGATTTTGGGAATAAATATCTAATTAAAACATGGAATATATATGTATTTACGTAATAAGTATTTTTTTGCAATTAACAGATATCATTCTTTCTCGCCTTTTGTGTGAAATAGATTGCACTAACATGTAAGTACCAGAAATCATCAAAACAACTGTTTCATTATATTGCAAATTAACAAAAGCTTTTTTTATTCAAAAGCAATAGTCATTGTGAATTCATTTTAAGTAAACAGTTACCTTGAAGTATTATTCTAGCATGTTACAAAGTCCGATATCCAGACTAATCGGGACTTTGATGATTCTTAAATCTAGTAAGACGTGTAGATGATATGTAGAAATTATAAAATTTAAAATATGAAATAAGGACGGATTTATGACCTTAAAGAAATCAAAATTTACAAAAAAAAAAAAAAAAAAAAAAGAGGGACACAATATTTACTTGTTTTCTTTATTAAACATTTCTTTCAATATAATTTTATAGACAGACATAATTTCTTGTTCAGTTATGGAGTTCCACTGTTCAAGTCCTGTGACTGCAGGGCAGAGGATTCCCACTAAATTGTCAATTGAATTTTTTTCATTCTCAACAAACTCTCTGTCACTTTCTTCAAGCAGCAACATTTTATGGATTTAGAATCATACTAAAGATTTTGTCATTCACTAATTGATTGATGACTGAGGCATTGTCACTGCAATGAAAAACTTCTGTTATATCATCTTCATATATTACCACTTCTCCACAAACTGGACATTTTTCCTTTTTTTTCAATATCTGTAAACCTTCAAATTCATGGCTATTATTGTAAAACTAAATATGTATACACTACCATTCACTATACACAATATTAGTGATACATCATGATATTGGCGATTAAAGACATGTTCTTCATCCAAATTTGGTCTTGTTTTTATTACGCACTGAGGAAGTTATGACTGAATCAGATCAGTTTTATTATTTATTATACTTGCATCTATTCTATTTTCCACACATGCTTTAGGCTTATCTGAAATCTGAATAAATAAATTCTCATACATCCTTAAGACTTAATAACAAATCAGTTATTCTTAAACAGCCCTAAACGTTATCCTTTAACCTATGAATATCATTTACAAAATCTACTTTTTACACAGCAAAATTTCTCCTTGTCTACACACACAACACTTCGCAATTAACTGAAATCGTTGCCAAGCATAATGTTAACATAAAAGGTTACAATATTGTTTGGTATTTAATTACTAAAAAGAAAAGTTTGAGTCAATTCTCACGTTTTCTGAATTGACAATCATGCATTGATGAAAGCAAAAAAATAATAAAAAATTATTCTCCAGTTTAGTATCAAGAATATAAGTTATTCAGTAAGTGTAAAATCAGTGATGAATTTTGGTAGAATGTTTCAGTTTGAGATGTTTGCCAAGTAAAAAAACAGAGGGAAATTATATGCTAACAAATGGTTGTGTTTCTTCAACATAGGTATTTTATTAAAATTTTAAATAAAATACCTATGTTGAATTATAAATTTCTATAAATAATAAACCTATAAATTTCTTAATTTGACTTAAGTCTAAATTAGTACTTAAGTCAAATTAAGAATCTAAACCTTCCACATACTTTATAATGAAGAACTGGTGCATGCATGAAGCATTTAGCATATACAGTACAAAGCTGAGATCTGTACGTCCAATATACAGAATGATCTAGAATCTTGACCTCAAAGCCACCAACAATCTTTTTAGTTCAAAGGAGCTTTGTCCCAGAAGGACTATTGTTTTTGTTTTGCGATTGGTTCACTATAAATGTCCGTTTCTCTTTTCAAACTGTTGCCACCATTAAAGTCCAGCATTATATTTGAAGAAATTAAATAATGAAAAATCTGCATAAATGTATGTATATTTCTTGCATTGTGATAAAACAAAGGTACATAGAGCCATCGAATTTTGAATGACATAATCCTACTGCAAATATGGGCATGTGGAAGCCCAAATTTGAAATTTGGAATTTGCTTTATTATCGATTTCATATTCTATAAATCTTTAACGAATTTTTGATTAACAAACTGAAGGATTTCAAAGCGAAAAATGGCAACATTGTACAGAAAAAAAAAAAAAACATTTTTATCTCTAGCATCTGGACTGAGTATCGGAAATTCTAAAGATATGCTCAATTTAAAACTATTTTGCAATATTGCTCTTAAACTGATTTTCTAGTTTAAGTGCAAAGAATGTGATATTCAATAAATAAAGGTAACAGGTAAAATGTTAAAAAGCCCCTTTGGACGTATTTTAAAATCTGAAACCTTTCAGTTTTTTTTTTTTTTTTTTTTTTTGTATGCTTTATGCATGCACATTTTATTTCTCTCCCCCCCCCATAATAAGACATGCAGAGAGTCCCGATTCTTAATTTCATTTCGGCACTAAATAAAATACCTCGCTATTGTCAAATGCGCTAAGAAATGTTGAGGATGAAAAATTTAACAAAAATTTCTTTCCATATGCTAAGAATAGATTTCGTTAATGATACTCATAGACCAAACAATTACATTCAGTGCTAACTGATTTGTTATTTACATAAACCCAGAACTGGCGCCAGAGATTGTATGGTGGAAGAATTTAAGAAGATAAATTTTTTTGAATTTAGAGAAGCACAGAGGAACAAAATTAAAGGATGACAAAACTTTTAGAATTTAGGGAAAGCACTGGGACACAAAAATTTAGAACTTAGGGAGGCGCTTGTTAGCGAAATTCAGGACCTGCACAGACTGCATCAAGCAGTAAGATATCTAGAGCCTTCTCTCGATAAGCCTTGAGTATGTGTGGGAATTTATTTATTTATAAGCCTTAAGCATGTTCAAGAAATAGACATGCGTATAGTAATAAAAAAATACAATTCAGGCTGAATTATCTCAGTGCACGATAGAAGCAAGACAAAAGATATTGAAACAACTTGTTTTTCTTCGCAGATCTCATGATAGCTGATACTCTCAACTGATACTGAAGCTGTTGAACTATTTGCAGATGAATTTATTGAACTCACTAATAGTGAAAAGTTATATCAACAATTTTTCAATGCTGATGAAACTGGTCTTTTCTGGCAATATGTACTGCAGAATAACTTGGCATACTATACAGAAAATGCTTCAGCTGGTATCAAAGATTCCCTTTGGATTCAGCAAGACTAACAATTTTAGCATGCGCAAATGCTCCAGAAATGCAGTATAAACTTTTCCTAAACAGAAAAAATACACGACCTCAAGCATTTAAAAAAGTAAAGATTTTCCCAGTTATATAATGTGCAAATAAAAATAGCATGGATGACACAAGCATTAATGAAGGATTGGTTTGAAAATCATTTCATACCCAAGGCTCGGCAACATTTGAATTTGGTTGGTTTACCTAATGACGCAAAATTTTACTGATTGAGATAACTGTACGGCTCATACTTCACTTAAAAGTTTTAGTAAAGGATTATGTATACATATTAATCTTTCCTCCAGATTGCACATAAATCATTCAGCCTATAGCTATTGGAACAGTACATCAGCTGAAATGCAAATATAAAGTAACATTTTTAAAGTCCATGTTAAATTTCTTGAATAATGGCACGACTATTCAAGAATTTTTGAAATATTTTAGCATAAAATCTGCTGTGTGGAGCAATACAAGATCATCGGAGGATGCATCTTCATATACAGTCAAAAGTCGTTAATTCGGACACCCATAATCCGGAATGATCTATAATCCGGACCTCAAAGCTACAAACTTTCTGCGCATGCGTCGCGTTCACGCATGCGCACAGGCGTTTACGAGAGCGCGTAAGACCCTCACGGCTGCGAATATGTTTGTGCGCATGCGCGTTTAATGTGTAACGGAGTTATACGCTAAGCTAAAGTTATCTAAGCGAAAGTATGTTTTGAAATCCGAAATCTGTTTATCAATTTCACGCTGCTCTGCGGCAGAGGGGGGGGGGCAGAAACGTCATTATTAGATTATGATAGATTAGAAAGGTTATGTCAAATAGAATTTCCCATATATATTTACTAATATGTAATTTGTATCTACAAAGCGAAAGTATGTTTTGAAATCCGAAATCTGTTTATCAATTTCACACAGCGGATTGGAAGTTGATCTGTCAACACTATCCTTATCTTCAGAGCAGATGTTTTTATTTTATTTGGGTTATAAACTCTGTCTTTGATATGATTTAAATCAAGTTCCTCATCATTATAATTCGCTTCTGATAGTGAAGAAAGTGACCCAGAGGTTATTGAAAACGAAAACATTTCGATTGACAAATTAGTCGGTATTCTCAACACAGCAATTATAAGACTTGAACAGCGGAACTTTGTAACTAAACAAGAAATTATGTCTGTTTAATAGAATTAAAGAGAAAGCATTATCACATGAAACGAAGCAACTTACATTGAAGGAAATGTTTAATAAATTAA